CCAATATATTCATTGTCGGCTACGAGATGTCCATTGCCGGCTACTCGTGGTCCATCAAGCGAACGCCCATCGACTAGGTTGTACCATTTCCTATGCACGCATCTGTGCACGGGCCGGGCTACGGTGGGGGATGACGGAGGTCGGCTGTCAGAAATATCGGAAGGCGCTGGACGTTGACGGCGAAAAGTGGCGGCTGAGGGATGACCTGTTTTTGGTTGTGCATTGGGAAGTCTGGGCAATTGTACGAAATCTTGGGCGGCTGATGATGGTATGGCTGGTCAAGTTTTGCCCAGAAATCACGGCCGAAGAATGACTATATTGGCGGGTTGACGGAGCCCGAAGATCTAAGGTCGTCAGGGCTGGTGTTGGTTGTTCTCGACGGTTAAAAGTCGCGATGAAGCTGTTGATCGGAGCTGTACACGAACGTCCGAAAACAGGCATGACAGGACGACGGACTGAACAGACGAGATATCTCAACGGCTTTCATGGACCGCTGGTCGAACTAGAGCAGATGCTGAAGACGATGATTGTAACTTTCCTTATTTGTCTTGAATTGTTATTTAATGGTCGTAATACTCGATTATTTATTTATTTTCATGTTTATTGTTATTACTTAATGTGCATCATACTTATTTGATGTGCATAATATTTATTTACAGTATGTGCACATTAACTGTCTAGTGTCTAATATGCATGATAATTATTTAGTTACTTATTTTACCCAAAAATAATTTATGCTAATTATTGTTGCTTTATTTGAATGGTAAATAATTATGAAAAATACATATTAAAAAATCAATAATTGAATATTTTAAATATAAAAAATTATATCTAAAATAGTTAGTTGTTTAATATAAAAAATTATATTTAAAATAAAGTTTTAAAAAATATTTGAAGGACAAGCTCTTCCTTGCATCGTACAAGATGCTCACTAGTATATATTTAATCGTTTGAGAAAATATAAAAGCTAATGGGTAAAATGCGCTTCAGTCCAAACACTTGATCTCATTTTACACATACGATGCAATCGATCAATCATAAGTTTTCAATAAAAAAGTCAGTATTAATATTATAAAATATTATATTTTTTTATGTTACTTTTCTTAAATTATGATATTTAAATTAAAATGATGTATATTTATTAAAAATTACAATTGTCTGACTATTATTCAATCTAATAGTATCGTACCCTTCTTTTTATTAATTACATTAACCTTGGATTTGAGTAATTAATTTTAGGTAAAGCTGTTAATGAACTTTTTCTTAAATGTAAGTATTTGATAGGGTGCATAAAGTTCCAATTAATTTATTGAAACAAAACGCATAGAAATCAAATTAAAGCAATCATATTGAACGTTTTTTTACCGAAAAATAAAATAAGGACAGTCATCATCACTGATCACGTCACCTCGTTAGTGTATTTAGCATGAATGAGTTATTTCTTCTTCTCGAAGCACGCATTTTCCGCCAAGTGATAAGCAATCATCTTTATCACACCTCAACTACTACGCTCTGATCCATGACTTATCAATAAGACATTTGGCTTATCAGTTTCACTCTTTCATACGAACAGCGGGGAATGTGTAGACCCACGCGCGCCTCGTTGTGGATATCCGACATGTCGGGTTATCTTATCCCCACGTTCGTAGCCGCGAGTAGCAGATTGGACACGTAGGCACACAACACACCCGCTTGATGGACACGCGCGTTAGGCGCGTTTCTTTCGTATTTCTTATCAATATTCTCTCGCCTTTGAAAAAGCACCATCTCCTTCTTTCCCCTCACACACCGCTCCTCTGCTTGTGACCACTCTATAAATGTCGCCTAGAGAGAGAAAATGAGAGCAGGTTAAGAGAGAGAGAAAGAGAGTTTGAAGGGCGAGAAAATAGAGAAGAAAAAAGTTGCCAGAAAAACCCCAAAAAAAAGAAGAAAAAGGGAGAAAGAAAAGAGAAGAAAACTCTCGATCTGCGGTTCCTTTCACTCCGTTCACGAATCCAGAGGTA